GGCTCCAGGTAAAATGTCTTCCTGGAATATATAATGACGAACTTAGGATTTGAAAGCAGTCTTAGTTCTTTTGCTTAATCAATAAAAGATCTTCTGGTGAAATGTGGCTTGATTTGTATGTCTGTGTTAGTTCTGCAGGAGCAAAATCAGCAGTAGGCATTTGTATGTAGAATGAATAGCCACTATTGGGGACAGAGCGTCATTGTTTTCAGGCAAAGTTCCTGTAGATCTTCTGACTTCACCTTTTGCTGTATTCTGACTTGACAGTGTTCTTAATTACAATTAGACTGATACTTAGCCACTAACCATTGCTTCTTGTCTTTCTCTCCTTGCTGTTCTGGTAGCCTGGCAGTCCTTATTTTTCTTCTAACATATGTATGGCAAACCTTAGCTTAGCTACATTTATGTATGAGAGCAGGCTACAAACAGGCAGTCTGGTATTCCTTATTTCCTTCCATTGTCATTGTCTTAGGATAAATGATGTGTGTGTACCTGATCTGGGACTAAACTGTTTCCTGTGTGAAATAAGTTTTGAAAATACAGTTCCTCCTTCCTTCCTTCCTTTCCCTCCGCTGTCATACCTCTCGACAACTTTTGGTCTGCTCCATAGACATGTTCCAGCAAATGCCAGAGCTCTTCATGAAGGACTATAAATTGTGAACGTACTCCCTACAGTAGGTTAGTGTTCAGGTTGGGTGAGTGAATTTGCAATGTTACGGTTACAAGGGATTTAAGGGCATTATCTTTTATGTGCGAACAGGAAATGAAAGTTCTTCAGGGATTTTCCCATATACGTACGGGGTGGGGGTGGGGACGACACCAAACCAAAAAACACCACAAAACAATCAATCAAACTAAACTAAAACCCCAAGCCAAACAGTGGAACAACTTTTGTGTGCATTGCCTGTGAAGTCAAGTACACGGTTCTTACGGTTTATAAAGTTCAAAATTGATTTTAAGATATACAAAATGCTTTTCCTATGCATAAAACTTGAAGTATAGAATGTAAAGATCTGGAAGTAGAGGAAGATGCCCTATCTGGTGTCATTAGGAAGCTGAAATCTTTCCATATGCTGTTGAGCATTCCACTTGCAGCCATGCAGGGGAGAATCATGTTGTTTCTTACAACTGTCACAGGTAGAAATGGTATGCGCCTTCTTGGTATGGCTGTTAACAATTTGGGAAGGAAATGTCAGATTAGCAGTGAAAGAAAAAACATTTCCTCTTGTAAATAGTCTTACAAGAAAATTACAATTTCTTTGAAGCTACTTATAGATTCTGCTATTAGAATTCTGGTAGGGTAAGCCCAGACAAGATGGATTTGCAGAGGAAGTAGCTGATGGGCAGTAAAAGGTGCATGACTAGCAGTCTTGTTCAGTTTGTTTCCTCAAGTGTTGTGTATTCCGTTTCAGAAACCTAAAGTGTATATGTTCATTGTTTTGAGTGGATGCTTTCTATTATTTGCAGTAGTGTACAGTTATACACAGACTGGCAAGTCTAAGCGTTGTAGAGTCTATTTTTAGGGTCAGACATTGTGATTACGATCTAATGTGCCATACTTAGCTAAACTATGAGCAATAAAATCTTTCAGGGAAGCAATGCTACTGATCTGGTACCATAGCCTGATACCAAAGAGGGATCATCTGTACCAGGACAGGGTGTTCTGCTGGCTTTTTCCCCTCTATTCACTTAGTTTCCTCTGTTCTAGACAGACAGGGTGAATTAGTGAGGTAGAACATACAGTTGCCCGACTGGAACAAATTATTTTCCATTGTTTGTAATCATGCATGATTTATTATGTTTGTTTCTTTTCTTTCTTTCTTTTTTTTTTTTTTTTTTAAACAGGGATTTTCCATCTGTGACCTACTGAGAATCAGTGCTGTTCACTATTGCAGAGGCTGCCTTATGAGTTAAGTTTCTGCTCTGCACAGCATAGTCATAGAATCATAGAATGGTTTGGGTTGGAAAGGACCTTAAGATCATTCCAGCCCCACTGCCGGGCAGGAATGCCTCGCACTAGACCATGTTGCCCAAGGCTCTAGTCCTAGGGACCAGTCTTGTATCCCTTTACTAGAAATAGGTACCCCATGCCTGTGTGAACTATCCCTCTGACTATATTTGCATCCTTCCTCCCCTCACACACGACTTGTGCTGGAATAAAACAGTGAAAACCTAGCCGCATGTTTCTGGGCCTGGTCAGTCACTGCCAAAAGGCTATTGATATTCATGAATCCTGAAGAATGAAGTAGCATTGGAAAATGAGCAAGCAGAGCTGTAACAAATGCTGTGCTCAGAGACAGTTCACAGCGCTGATACACACTCAAACCAGAACATACCCATGAAGAGTACCCGACAGCTGAGATGCTCAGTGTTTTTTGAGGTGCTGTGTCTGAATCTTCAGTTTATATACATTATAACTCCAGTACTGATAAACTTGGCTTTGCTGTAGTGTTTCACCTCCTTTGCCTCTGTGTTGCTTCTAGCAGCATCTTTTGCAGCCTACCCTGCTTTTTCTTACATTAAATAAGGATCTTTCAGCATCTTGAGGGAAGGATGTGTTTTTCTGCCTCTGGCAAGCTGCTGCCTGTATCCTATTACTGAGACTTCCCACCTCCCTCTTTCCTCCCCACTCCCTCCTCCTTCTCCCTGCCCCGGGTTAGAGGTCAATCTGAAATGCAGGAAAGAATGATTATGATAACAGGAGGAAACAGGAAAAATCATGCTTTCTTTTTCAATCTGTTTTTTATTATTGTTTTAATGTAAAACATTGTTTCAATTAAATGCTGACCTGTGCAGTGGCATGTGCGTGCACATGCTAAAATCAATTCAGGCTTTGTTTGAAAGCTGTGACCTCTTTATTCCTGTTCTGGATCAAGGCTGTTGCACCTTAAACCCACTGCTGAGGACTGAAATTTCACTTGTACTCCTGGTAGCCCTGGCAGTAATGGTCCTTAAAAGTGGAATTCTCCTTAGGCATTTTTATGTCCTGTTGTCTCTCAATTTTCAAAATAAACTTGCTTGTTTTTAAGAATTCCTCGTGTCATGAAAAAAAAAGGATAACCACAACACCATTAAAAGGGATCAAATGAGACTGGTGCGTGATGGAGCAATGGAGCAGATATGTGTAGAAATGAGCAGAGTTCTTTACTAGTTGCTTGCTTTCTCTATGACTTAATTTCATAATATGCTATTTATTCTTTTTCTTTTTTTTTTAAGTGGAGTGAATTGACTTCATCTAAAAGGACCTGTAGGAGTCAACCCCAATACCTGCTCCCAGCCCCAAAGTATTAACTGCAGTGGCACTAGAATAAAGATACCCAGTTTGTTATTTGCTTGGATGCAAATTTTAAATGTGGGTGGGGATACATCTGTGTTGCCTTGTGTAAGTTTTTGTTTGCCTAAAAGGAACTCTTTCTAAGAAAGGAAGGGTGGGGGGAGGAATAACATGAAAATTGTCAGGATGGTTAAAATGAGTCAGTTATGTTTTATACTTGTCCTCTGGTGACCAGATTTTCATTTCATTCCTTGGCCTCTTGAAATGCTTTTATTATGTCTTATTAGTTCTGGATATTCGGTGCAAGGGGAAACCTGAATTACAAACTTCACCCTTCCCCTCTCCATTATTGTATTAAGAGCCTGGGTATTGAATGCAGGTGCTCGGACTCTGCCATAATTGGCAGTTTCTGGAGAAACACCAGCTGTACTGCTTCACAGGGGAGATATTACATCTCTTCACACATTGTATATATTGTCAAAAACTCAGAATTCCTGTCACTGTCAGAAACTTTACATGTTTGCATCTGCCGGGGCCTCTGTAGAAAATATCTGCTGGAAGTTAAAACCAGTTCTGTTTTCAGAAGTAGCTTATCCGTGTTATTGTCCTTTCATGTAGCACTAATTGATGTTTTGATTAGTTAAATATAGCAAAGGTTTATCTTTGTGTGATCATGCAAGATGCATTGGTTTAATACTGCCTCATTTTTTTTTCTTTTTTTTTGTAACACGTGCCAACAGATATTACATGTGTGTTTACCTGTATATAAGATTATACTCATCATGCAATAGTATACTAAATGACGTATTTGACAGTTTCAGTTCACAGAACAGGGCTGGGAATAGAAGCAATAGAACTCCAAATTATATTAGACCTTAAAAGGCATGATTATATAGCAGGAACACCATGATGCTTCTGGGCATCTTACACAACAGGGGCAGTAGTTGCTCTCTCTGAGGAATGCTTGGGTACTGCAGATGGTACTGCTTGGTCCTGCCCGAGGAGTACTGGTATATTGATGGGTGGGACTTGTGCAGGTTTTGGAGGATAGAATTAAAGGGGGAAGCTAGGAATTAGTATCAAGCTTTATAGGTATTGTATGCAGGGGATTTGGCCAAACAAAGGAGAAGGTAGAAGCTCTGCTTCTGTTTGAATCATACGATCACTGAAGGGAATGAAGAGCTGTTGAGTGTTGCAGGGAATGTTTCTTGCATATCAAGAAAAATATGGGTGTCTGGCGTCTTACTGAATAGCAAAATAGGGTTCCAATGAAAGTAAAAGAAATCTCATCAGTTTGTTTTTAAGAGCAGCTAGGAAAATGCAGTCCTACTAATAGAGGAATGGACAAGCTTGCAAATGTCTTATTAATGTTTGCCTTGAATATATCCTTCTTCCTCTGTGCTTTAGAAATGTGTTTGGATCAATGTGTGACCTTTGGAGGTTTTGTCCTGTTAGCTTCATCTCTGGGAAGGTCATGGCTGTTTAATTCTGTCTTTTGGAACAGGTTTAGTTTATATTCTATCTGTGGTCATTAAATACCCCTTTTCTTGTGCTCTCATCAGAAGTGTCTCACCTGTTCTTTGACCTACTTAAGGCCCAGCACTGATACATTCTTTTGAACAGAATTTTCTTTCCAGTGCTGTTGTGTTTGTATGTTGTACACTGTCTGTTTGTGAGAGAACCAAGAGGAAGTATACATATTTCCATTTTTTTCTGTTTTTAATAGGTTTGTACGCATTGCGGAGAGCACTGGGGAAAAGACCTAATGTATTAGACAACGAGGTGGCTGGGTCAGTGATGATTGCTTTCAATGACTTCCTACAGGGGATGAATGATGTCAGGCCCAGCGCCATGAGAGAGGTGGCAGTTGATGTGCCAAAAGTAAGTCTTTTTCTGGCAATATGCTAGCAACATTGTGAAAGCCATGTTAGGAGTTGCAGTTAGGCATTTAAATGCCTTACCAAAAGAGTAATTCTGTGAAGAGGAATCCTCAAGTTACCAATAAATGTTGTGTGTCATCTTTTTGTTTGCTTATTTGTTTAATTATAATTTTGAAGACCTGTTTACAGAAGATAAAAGTTCCTAATGCTTTAGGAAGAGTTGGTAATGCAGGAGTGTATCTTCTATTAGTAGTTTTATATACTGAGTGGGTTAATGGGGTAAAAATCTTCAGATGTCTGCTGAAAGCAGATCCTGAACAGTGGTGAAAGCTGAAGCCTTTTGTAAAGCAGACATAAGCAGAAACCAACTGCTAGCATTTGTAACCAATGTGTATTGAAACAAAGATGTGGAGAGATTGATTGCTATGATTTTTTATTTTTTTTTTTTTTTTTGTAACACTGATTAAATCTACATGCAGTTCATACTGCTGTGACCTGAGCCTCTTCAGTGGCATTATGTGATTGTAGTTGAGGGCAGAATTACATACTGTAGGTAGCTTATCACTGCTAAGTGGTTACCAGTCAGGGGCTGGCATTATATGAACAGTTCCTTTGGCTCATCTTTACCCTGCTCTCTGCCTTCTCAGTTAGGTGTTATGGCAGCTCAGTAGCAAAACCAACATAAATTGGGCTGGGGAATTGATCTGGTTTAAGATGACTGATCTGGCTTAAGAATATTCAGCAAAAGAAAATGTATTTAATCTTACTAAATCTTGACTCTGCAAGTGATTGTGTTGGTGTTTCTCAGCAGCCTCCCAAGCCCTAGAAGAAAACATTTACGCCTCATTGCATGAAGATGAGTCATCTGGGAATTAGATTGCACAACTGTAGACACTTATTCCAAAACTATAAGAATGGGAAGTAAAATCTGCAAACAGGATGCTGCATGCAGCCAGCTCGGATATCACACTTGAGTTGTTAAGAACTGTAACTGTGTAGTGAAGTGCTGGGTGGAAATGCTGGGGTTGGCCCCAGATGGCTTTTCCTGGAAATTGTGTAGTGGCTTCAATATCTGCAAGGGCTAAGTAGTTCTGCTGAGAACAGAGTTACTAATTCTCTCGTTGCTTATTGTGCTGTTGGCTCTTGGGCTGACGTCATTATAACTGTACTGTGTCTTTTAGACATACCAACCTGTTTGGAGCCAGATGGAGCGCTGCTAAACAGCACACTAAAGACAGATAGAAGCCAAGCCTTGAGGTACTGCAGGGAATTGTTTCAGAATCCAGGTCAACCTACTACTCAGGCGACTTGTCCACTAAACCATCCTGCTGGTGGCTTCCTTGATTGTCTGGTTTTTAATTTGTTAAACACCAGCTGAGTCACTAGAATACTACTGAAATTCCTTCTGTTATTGAAGGAAAGATAACAGCATAGTGCAAGATTACTTCTGTGCTGACAGGACCTGCATTTTTACAGGATAATGCATATTCTGTGAAGATAGAGGGTAAAGTTCAGGCCCAACTTTTTGGTGCCTGGGGTGAGTTTAAAGTGGAACCACAAGTACCAGATGCAACGGATTTTGCATGCTCCTATATCACCTACCAAAGGAAGTGCTGGAATTCAGTTTAACTATGATTTTAGGCTGCAGAGCTGCCAGCTTACCAAAATTAAGGTACCTGTGCATGCTAAGAAGCAGGCCGAATTTCTGGAAATGCTGATACACTGTTGAAGAATGTCACAGTCATGTAAATCCAGCATTGTAACACAGCCATCACCCTCAAGGCTAATTACTCCATTACCATTTGTATTTAAGGCAGGGAGCTGATGTGCCCTACATCAGTTCAAGTCCATGGGTTCGTTAAAAGAACTTGGTTCTGCTGTAGCTGGGTGGTCAGGATGGCAGAGCAGGGGAAGCAAGCAACAGGAATCCAAGCCCCTGGTAGGGCTCTTCGTTGGGAATTTGGGATGTGCTGCAGGAACACTTGCAGACACCTGAAACTCATTCATGTACTTTAGTACAGTGTAGCTGTTTTAAAAGTTGACCACTCTGTGTTTTATAGACATGCACAAGCAAAAAGAAATAATAATAAAAAATCTATTTATAATTTTTATTAAACTTAGACTAGTGTAATTTGCTCTTTATTAACAAATAAATATGCCTTATTCTCACCTGATTGTTAGTGACTTGAGTGGCAGGCACTTTGTATTTAATGTACTGGTATTTAACTAGTGCATTAAACCAGAGAATTTAATTGGTTGATTTGTTATTTTCAGTACAGATTGTAGCAGACAGTGTCATGCAGCTTCTAATTCCTTGGATAGCTTTTTTTTTTTTTGAGAGGAATATGCAACGTTTTGCATTGCATGCTTCTCATATTGATTATTAGGTATGTCTCAAATTTTACAGATTTATTTTAGCTTCTCTGAAGTTGTGTATTGAAGTGCTCTGGTTGAAACTGTGTGTTTGATTGCCCTAACATTTGCAAATAATTTGATGCTGGAGTACTTGTTTTCAATAGAAACTAGGTATCTAAGAAGCCAAATAAGTGCAACTGCAGAGCCATTAATCAGTTGCATCATTTTGTGCTGATGATACTGTGTCCTAGGCTGCTTTGCTATTTAATATTGTGCTTGAATGTCTGCTTCTGCAAAACCTGTGGGAAACATTACTTGCTTGCCATAGAACTGACACTTGTAGTCTCAATTTCTATAGGAAGTTCTTCCTCTTTACTAATTTACCCCTCTTTTCAGTGCTTCCACTGAGAACTGGAAGTGCTTTTCAGTGTGACTGGAAGCTTTTCAGTGCTTCCAGTCCACAGACTTGGGCCTTTTACCCGTAAAACACTTAGTTGGCTGTAGGCCATGGTGTACTGTGATACTTACTTCTATGCTCTGCAGTAGTTTCTTATCAACAGAAACTGCCTTACTTACACCTTTTGTTGCATTCTTATCAAAATGTAAAAAATATAGCCTGGTGTGCAGGAAATGAAAGCTGGACTCCTATTTGGTTCGCTTTTTCTGTTTCTTTTTCTTCAGGAAACCTAACACTTGTGGTTTGATTTGGTTTTGTTTTCCCTGTCTAGTGTATCTTTGTGCAGTCATCCGGTATTGGTTAATGTCCAGATACTTCGTCTGTCAGGATAGGCTTGTCTTTCCTTGCTCTCCTTGCCCCAGAAGCTATCCAGCTACACAGCTGATTGTGTAGGCATATTTGTTAGAAAATCAAGAGTGACATTCCTTCATGTTTTGAAGTCTTTCCTTAACACTCTTTGTCTTCTAAAAAGTCCTTGTTAAAATCAACTTCAAACACTAAATGATCATCTATGAGATTAATTTGGTTTTCCCCAGAAGACAGAAGTCTGAGCTACACTAATTCGTAGTATCAGCTTTATTGCTCTTTATTACAGTTATGTTATTTGCTTGGCCGCACCTGGGTGAGGGTAGAACTTCTGGGTGATGCAGTTAGTTACAAGTAAAACTGTTGATGTATGTGCTGATTTAAACTGAGACTTCTGTGATTTTTAACTCTGCTTTTCAGAAGGTGGTTTGTTTTGCTTTATTTTTTTCACATTTCATTACTTTGCACTAGCCATGTGTCAACTGAATGAAAAAAATTCAAAGTAACTTCTAAATAAAGCCACAAGTAAATGGGCTTTGAAGAACCTCTTCCCTTATGATACCTTTGTCATTTACTGCTGTTGGATTTTTTTGAAGCTGGTATCATCTCTGTTACTGAATGAAAATAATTACTTGTTTTATCAGACACTACAAATTTTCATCAGCACAGACCTTGTTCACTGAAATCTTCAGCACTTGGAGTAGGGTGTACAGAAACTTAATTTCCTAATCAATCTTTGCTTATTAGGTCGTAGAATTGAGTGCTAGTAACTTGGCTGCTTGGAAGGCTAGAGGGCTATATTGTCTCTTGCAGTCTTTTGTCTTACTTAAAACCTGGGAAAACCTCTTGTTATACCCGTACTTGAGGTAGTACCTAAGGAACAAGGACATATATTTTAAATCACTTGCTTGGGTGGCCTTAAGCATATTGCTTCTTGGTGTTTGAGGGTATTTGATAGTCTGTGTAGAATGCTTTGCAGTCTGCTTCTGAAAAGTGCTCCATAACAACCTAGTTATTAGGGGATTTGTCATTGACAGAAATTGGGCTCTTTCTTCCTTTTACCTAATGCATATTCAAAATTTCTAGTGGGATAAACAGCCACAATGGAATGAATTAGTGGCAACAGAGTGAAAGTGTGTGTGCAGGAGGAGTTGTTGGAGGCAGAATTGCCACCGCATGCTTTTTTTTGTTGTTGTTGTTTTCCTTCTTTCTGCCTTTTTTTTGTCCTTCTACTAGTGTCCGCATTGCTGTGTACAACCAAGGCAAATGCAGAATACTCACTGCCTGGTTCCATGTAGCATCTTGCTTTCTGTTTGTACAGAACCTTTCTTGAGCTTTACTATGCATTACAACCTTTTTTGATGGCTGCTTTTTTCTGCAGCAGGGATTTAGGAGAGAGGGGATTCACATTATAAATCAGGAAGTTAATATTCAATTCTTCAGAGAGTTTCTCTGTAGTTGCCTTTCTTCCCTCTCCTATGGGTCTTTCTGAAATTTTTGTAGAGTGCGATGGTTTTGCTTGCTTGTTCCACTCAGCTGATGCTGTAATTCAACACTCAGATTTGTGTCTCTGCAGCCAGAAGGTTCTGGATGAGACGTCCTTTGCATGTCTGATTTATTTCTTTGCTGCTGCTGCTGCTGCTTAGCGACCTCAGAGGAGTTACTGCTCTGCACTGTATTCTGAGCTCTGTTGACCTGGGGAGAGGTGAAGATTATTACATCAGTATTTAAATCTTGGTGTCTTGCACACCGTAGCAGAGGTCTTTGTATATGTAAGCTCAGCCCCAAGGCTTGTCTTTAAAACCACTTCTGCAGTGACAGAATATCAGACTTCATTGCTTATGTTACAAGATCTTTCCTTTGCATTGGTGTGCATTTGAAAGAAGTGTAGCTGGCTGTCTGAATGTGTTCACTAGAATTTATGTTAATGGCAGTCAGGAAGTTACTTGAGGATTTGTGTGCAAAAGCAGTCCACCTGGTTCTTCCAAGCTTTCATAAATCTAAAAGAATTCTTTTGAATGTTGTATCATTGGTGGTTTCCCCCTTCCTCCTCCATCTCTGTCCTTTTGAAAAGGGTGTAGAGGGGAGTTTTGTTTAGGACTTCAGGACTTGACCAGAATCTTGCCTTTGCTGGTCCTTCTGCTCTCAGATTCTTCTTAGTAAGCAGTGGTGATCAGCTCTACATATTTCATGCTTCCCCTGGTTTGTAAAGTAATTATTTAAGAGCCAGAAGCTGTTGGCCACTAAGAAAAAGAGTTTAGTTTGTCTTTTTTCTAGAGCTCCTGTAACATATTCTTGGTCCAAGAGAGATGATGTTCTGCAGACAGCAGAAAGGCCAGTTAGCTTTTAAACTCTGAGTATTTCTGAGGGGTTGATCCATGCATGTTGATCTCTGCTGCGTGCTCTCTGCTGTCTTTGTAATCTTATTCTCTGTGACAGACTGACAATGGAGAAGTTTTATTTGGTTTGCTTCAACTTACACAAAAGTGCTTGCACCACATCCAAATGCTCTTTTACTTCCACTTCAATAGCAGACTGAATTGCCTCTTTAAGGGAATATCTACTATTAGTTTCCACTCTATACTAGCATCAGGAAAATAGCAATAGGGACAAGCAAGGAGTGACCCCAGTTTTCAAGTCAGGAGGAATGTGATAAATCGCCTTCTAGTAATACTCTGCTTGCCTTTCAAGTGTAGTGACTTCCCAGAGCTGAAGGGTGATTTATGTCTAGCAAATTTTTTGAAGAGTGTTTTAAGGCAGAAGATCATTTGATTTAGCTGTGTTTTGACATGTTTAATATTTGAAATGGACAGGAATGTATGGTGACAGGACGAAGAGCCAGCTGGGGGATGTGAGGGGAAGTCTCGGTCAGGCTTGTTGACAGCGATGTGGGGAGAGGTGTATCAGGTTTTAGATCTCTCTGCTCTCTTGGGTAGGACATATTAGTTCTGTCCTGATGTATGCCTGCCAAGCCTGTCTTGAATCTTCAGCAGATCAAATTTAACTGCATTTGGGCTTGAGTGTTGCTTTTGTGTGTGTATGGTTGTTTTTGGTTTGTTTTTTTTTTTTCTCTAGATACTTGTCTAATTGGAGAATTGTTTGTTCTCGAGCTTCTAGTCAAATCTCCATTGCCCAAGTCCTATATGGTGGCAGGTGCTGGCAAGTGGAGAAACTACCCCAAAACTCATAATACTTAGTCCTTTTCAGCTTAGTGGAATAGCTGGGATCAGGGCCTTACTCTGCAGCTATAAATAAAACCAGCTTGAGCTCATAAAAGCCCTTTCCTTCAGGGAAGACATCAAAGTAATCTGCAAATTCTTCATCAGCATCACATTAAAAATCCCAAGAGAATGGAGCAGAGACTTTGCTAGTGATCACCCCGTGTTGCTGCCTGTGTGATCATGCTGTCATTTTATTGTTGTTTTTCTATATTTTGTTATTGACCTTTGAAGTAGATACAAAATATTTGCTTACATCCGCCAGCATAAAGCAATTCTAATACCCTCTTGCTTTGTGTGACTTTATTAATAATTGCTTCTTAAAAAAGGGAAAAGGACTTTTGAAGAAGTGACTGGTTAAAAACATGTCATGAAATAACCAGTATGCATTCTACGGAGCATTTTTTAAAAATAGTTTTGCTCCATTGTCTGAATTCAGCAAAATGGTCTGTTTTGCAGGTATCTTGGTCAGACATAGGAGGACTGGAAGACGTCAAGCTTAAATTGAAGCAGGCAGTTGAATGGCCTCTCAAACATCCTGACTCCTTCATCCGAATGGGGATTCAGCCTCCGAAAGGTGTGCTGCTTTATGGACCTCCTGGATGCTCAAAAACAATGATAGCAAAAGCTTTGGCTCATGAAAGTGGCCTCAACTTCTTGGCAGTGAAGGTAGGCCATTTAGTCTTACATTTTCTTAACTCATGCATAACAACTGATAGTTTACTAATTTCCAGTGCTAGAGTCCAGTGGCTCTTAGTATTTGTGATTGTTGTATATGCCAGAGGAAACACCTTGTCAATGTCAAGTAAAGTTTGTGTTTTCTTATGAAAAGGACTAGTGGTTTCTTGTATGCTTTTCAAGAAGCTAATATTTATTTTTAGCAGAGTTACATAGGTGGGTAAGCTGTCTACTGGCATATTAACCATTGTCATTATTTAAAATCTTAAAAAAATGGAAACAATGAAATTCTTAAATTCAGCTCTAGATAATGGGTAGGTCTTCTTACTGTAATAACTATGATCATCTCATCTCTTACATTCCTTTTCATTCCTCAGGAAAGTAACTTTTTTTTATCATACTGTTCCTGTTTCAGTACAGATTTTTTTTGTCCTATTTGCCTTTTTTTTTTTCAGGAGAAATAGTTCTACTTCATCAGTTTTCAGAAAGTTTTCAAAATCAGTTATGTCTGGGTACTCTTCAGGAACCTGCTTAGTAAGGTTCCATGGGATATAGCCCTAGAGGGCAGTGGGGCCAAAGGCTGTTGGTTGATATTCAAGGATCACCTACTGCAAGCTCAGGAGTGTTGCATCCCAACTAGAAGGAAGTGCAGCAGGAGGGCCAGGAGACCTCCTTCGACGCATAAGGAGCTGCTGAGGAAAATTAGAAGGAAAAAAGAGGCTTATAAAAGGTGGAATCAAGGACAGGCAGCCTGGGAAGAATACAGGGATGTTGTCCGGGAAGCTAGGGACCAGGTTAGGAAAGCTAAGGCCCAGTTAGAATTAAACTTGGCTAGGGATGTGAAAGATAACAGGAAGGGATTCTATAATTACATTGCAAATAAAAGACAGGCTAGGGACAACATGGACCCTCTCCGGAAGCTATCAGGAGAACTGGCTACCCTGGATTTGGAGAAGGCTGAGGTTCTTAATGATTTCTTGGTCTTCCCTGGCAAATGCTCTGACCACACCACCCAAGTCTTGGAAGGCAGACACAGGGACTGTGAGAATGGAGACCCTAGGCCCACTGTAGAAGAGGATCTGGTTCAAGACCATCTTAAGAACCTGAATGTACACAAGTCCATGGGTCCTGATGAAATCCATCTGCAGGTCCTGGAGGAGCTGCCAAATGAAGTTGATAAGCCACTGTCCATCATACTTGAAAAATCATGGCAGTCAGGTGAAGTTCCCGACGACTGGAAAAAGGGAAATATAACCCCCATTTTCAAGAAGGGAAGAATGGATGATCCAGGGAATTACAGACCAGTCAGTGTCACCAACCAGGGCGGTTGGAACTAGATGATCTTAAGGTCCTTTCCAACGTTAACTATTCTATGATTCTATTAAGAAACGCTTTATAGAAAGATTTTGAATTTCATTGCTTATGAATCAGTGTAAGTCATTACTGTGGGTTGTATGGAAAATGCATGAATGGAAGTTATTTAATAATAATACTGAGCCTCAACATGTAGGAAGGAAAAAAAGAGAGCAGAGTGATTCCACATGGGGTGGCCTTGCAGATGTGTTAAAATGTTAATGAAGTGCAATAAAAAACATTTAAGTATTTTAAAAGTATCTCCTTCTCAGCAGTAAGATCACAAACCCTTGTCTGTTGGCCATCTCTTTACTCACAAAGCCTTCTGTGGTGGTAGTTTCTACACAGCTTCCTCCTCTGCCTGTCCTTTCAGACATCCTGTAGCTGTAGCTCTGGATCCTGTCCTCTCTGGGAGCAGAGGCAGTTGCCTTGCCCCTAAAGCCAGCACCTTTTCATTGCCTGCTTCCCGGGATTGTAAACATGCCTCTGGGTCACGTTCACATCAACAAGAGCAGCCTTGGAAACCTCAGCCCTTAAGAAACACTGCCTTTACTCTGCCTCCTCTGCAAGGACAAAGTAGTTCTTTGTACTCCAGAGTTATTGGTAAACAAGGTAACCTTTTCTTCCTGCACTGTTTAAAAAAAACCTTTTTCTTGCCCAAGGCCCTGATGCCTGAGAGCATGGGGAGGGATAAAAGGTGGCAGTCTGAAAAAAAACCCCAAACAGTTAAAAATGAACATTGTTACTATCCTGTATTCATCAGTCATAGCTACATCAGGCATTCTTACTGATGCAGTTAATTGTCCAAAAAGAAAGCTGGCTCATGCTGAATAGAAGTATCCAGAGGCACACTGATATGAAATTATTTACACAGTAATGCAATGTTTCTTCACAGTGGAGATCTGCAAAACCCAGTCATTGACAAGCAGTAGTAGCAGTGGGTAGTTTGGGGAAACTGCCTTTTATTCCCTGTGCATTTAAATCCCTTGGCCTGGAACTGGTCAAATATTCCATGTACAGGTGTTCCAAGAAATACATCTCTGGAGCATGTCCAGCCCTAGATATGTTGACTCCAGGAAGGGAGCATAGCCCACTTTCTCTAACTTCACATTTGCTTCCTGGACAGAAAAGGCAACATCCATTACGTACTAAATGTGTTAAACTTCATTGTCTGCAGCACTTATTCAGGCAAAACAGGCATGAATTAATTTCCACTGCATGTGTTCCTGCAATGAATCCAAAGTAGATAAATAAGTGGGGGGTTGGTTTTTTTGGGTTTGTGTTTTTTTTTTTTATGTGCCTTTTTTTTGTTTTCGGCTTTTCTTTTTTTTTTTTTCCCCTGAGGGAGGGGATTTTCCTTGCTTATAGTCCTATTAATTTTACTGTTCTTTATGTTAAGTCTCAAATATCTGTCCATGGAATAGGTATCAGGATTTTTGAATGGAAGTGTGTTTCTTGATAATTTAATTTTCAGACTTGCATTTTTCTCCCAGTCTGTCCTGCCCCAAATAAATAATTTTGATGAAAAGTGTCTGCTGTACAGCTTGTGGAATATTTGTAATCTGTCACGATAGTCCAGGTGTCTCAGGTTCTTGGGTCCTTCTTGAGAACAGGCTGTTCTATGGGAGCCTGTTTCTGGATGCTGAATCTCCCCGTGTCTGAAACCTGAGAGGAAATTGAGTACGTTACATGCAGTGCTTACTTGGTCCAGTGATTTTTTGGAAGATGGACCGATTATGTCTGCACACTACATTTAAGATACGTGGGCACAGTAAATCCAGCTCTCTTGGAGTGCTGCATGTACTCTTACTTCTCTAAGTTGGCTGCCCTGCTTGGGTGCAGAAGGTATTGCTCCTGCCCCAGCCTGGCTCCGGGAAAGCTTTGTGCTGTTTTCCAGATGTGTCTATGCAATGTCTGTGCAGTTTGGACAGCTGACTCTGCTCAGCGAAGTTCTTCAGCTGGGTTATATATAACCTGTTAAAAAGTGAACGTTTCCATGTGTCTTGGACATGATGGGCTGTCATCATGCTGTATAAGGCACGGTAAAAACAACGCAGCCTCCAGCCCACATCTGACTTACCTCTAATAAGGTTTGGAAGATGGACAAGGTCTAGATATAATTTCCGTGCAGAGGAGCTGAAGAAAATAACGTGATAACAGATGTTTGACGTAGCATCCTCTTCTCTCCTGAAATCTATTGTGATGTTTGAATGGTTAGTATTACAGTGAATGTGGCTCTTTTGTAAACATGTTCTTTGATATTTGGCCAAAACCTTTTATAGTTGTATTTTCACCAAGATTGGCAGCCTTTTGCTTTTCCAGAGAAAAGCATTTGGCTGGTTCGTTTGTTTTACAAAGCAATCTTGCATGTAATTCCTAAGGGGAATTGTTATTTTTACTCCTTCACTTGACTTTCTTTGTCTTTAATACAATATATCTACCAAATTTACTGGGGAGGAGGTTTTCAATTACTTTCCAGGGGATGGCTCTTCCTGCTCCCTCCCACCACCCCTTTATCTGTATCCCTTGCTGCACTGAACCTTTTCAGGTTTTTAGTGGTCATCTTGCTTATTTTCCCCCATTCTGAACCTCTGTTACAAAAAGACAACTGAATTGTTCTCAACTTTTTGAAGACTTTTCAGTGTTTTGTGATCATGGATACAAGAGAGTGCAAGACCGTGTGAATTTGGATAACTTTTTAATTCTTTGGGATTGAGCATCAGTCTTATCAATAGTCTTTGATCTGATTAAATTCTTATTTCAGTTAGCCTTCTATGCACTTTTGTGCTTCTTCACACTCCTTTGTGCTTGCCCCAGCTTTTGTAATTTTCTACTGAAATGTATTTTATGCCTTTATTTTACCAGTAGAAAAGGAAAATTCTGCACAGGTACTGGAGGTATCAACGTTAATATGATGGAGGATATAATTTTCAGCTTTTGCCAGGCTGATGACACCTCTCTGATGTATACAACTTTCTCTGTGACACTTTTGCTTTAGATGTCATCCAGATTTCTGAAATTGAACATAAGGAAAATGAACCCCTTTGTCACTGTGTTATTTCTGTGTGCCTTTTTTCCTCTCTTTGACTGACTGTGGTCGGTATCTCTCCATACTGTTTTGACAGTTCCTGTGCTTAGGGTCAGCTTTGACTGGCTGCTTTTTTGATGTATACATATTGATTAGACCACTAAGCTTTTGTGGTGATAAGAATATTTCTGTGGAAACTTCCGTATATTTCTGTATGGCATAGATTGTTATATCTGCGTTTGTCTTGCATCTCAGTTTATTTAAATTTGATATCACTGTCGTCTTAGTTTTCTGTGGGTTCCCCCTCCCCCCCATTATTTATTTGATTTATAGGAAATCCTGTGTCACTGTGTTGTGCTGAGAATCTAATGAATATTTTTTTCTTCATGGATTTTCTGTTGCTTGCCCAGGTTGCTAGATACTGGAGAGGTTGTATGTTACTGATGGTATCCTGCATTGCATTACTTTCTACTTACGCGGACTGCTAAAACCAGGGAGAGACTTTCTGCTAATTTCAGGAGGCTTTTGCTCAGGATTATGTCAACAGGGAATCTTGAGTTCTGTTTTTTGTCCAACAAGCAGATTACCTGAGTACAAAATAAATAACAAG